CCCCCAGAGGAGCTGGAGGAAGTGGCTGGGGAGAGGGAAGTCTGGGTTTCCCTGCTGAGGCTACTGCCCCCACGACCCGACCTCGGATAAGCGGAAGTTAATGGATGGATGGATGGAACTAAGAATATTGTGATAAACAAGACCCCAAACAATATGATTTAAAGATGAACTACATCATCTTTAAATCATATTGTTTGGGGTCTTGTTTATCACTATGCATATGATCATTTTTCCATATAAAATAAAGGGCCCACTTACGGCGATCATTTGGAAGCGATCGCAGTCTTAAGTCGACAACGACCTGTACCGTGCAATCCTCCCCCGTCTATTTACAGGCTGCTAATTGAGACTGTTATTGAAACATTATTGTCAGGGGTGCAGGACAGAGACAGGAGACATATTTAATGCTTCATTTTGTTATAGGTTATTTTAAGATGTAACCAATATCACTCAAATCAGCCAAAAGACTCCCTACCTGTTTGTACAGTGAACTCCAGCTTGTCGAGAGCTGACATGTCAGCTGTTTTCATTTGGAGAGTCAGGAGAAAGGGCTTCCCCCTCCTCACTATGAGTCTGTCCACAGAGATCTCATCAGTGTTGTGAGCCTTGTTGTTTTCCCTACAGTGGAGCAGAACTAGAAAAGAGAAGAAGAAAAAAGGCAAGAGTAATCACAAAATGTTTTTTTTACAGTGTAGTGGTGCTTTCTATTTGTCCTCTCTGTCATCGATTAAAGAAATCAACAAGGCTTTGGCTGATAAGATTTACAGGAAAACTCAAATTCACTCTAAGTCACACTTGGAGATTGTATATCTTTACTAACTAGAAAATATACACAGCCAGAAGTGAAGGCAAAGCAGGAAATTCTGGGAGCCCTATAAAGTGCTGGGTGCCCAGAATCAGTCCGGGTATCGCTGTCCCTCCGACACCCCTGATGGGATGTTATCAGAGGCAGTTCTGATACCTGCTTAACAGCATTGATTTCTAAATTATGCACAGCCATTTTATTATACCAATTAAATTATTGCTTGATGTTCAACAAAGAAGTGATACAGTAGCTATAAAATTCATATATAATGCAATCTGACATAATCAAATTCTGCAGTTCACATGGTATATATGTACGTGTGTGTGTGTGTGTGTGTAATGCTGTGTATATATATATATATGTGTATGCATATGCACTCATACATACATACATGCACACACAAACATACATACATACACGCCTCGTATATGTATAAGAAAAACTGATCACATTTTGTCTCCGATTAACTTACCCAAAGCCATTGCTGCGTAAGTTGTTCTGCGTTATTGCAAGTTGTCCGCTGCCCAGAGTGTCTTTCCAAGTGAGTGGAGACACTCGGTCCTGACACCTCTATAAATACAGTGACACTGCCGGCTTTTTCCTGTTCTGCTCCCAAACAATGGCCTTAACTTACTAATATCAAATTTATCAGAAACTGGTTTTGTTTCTGCATGCCTACTTTTACTTTGTGATAATCTGTGTCTAAATGATTAGATAACAAGTAAACACACCTTCTTTTTAGAAAATTTTCAATAATGCTGAGAGATAGAAATCTTACACGGTTATGCAATTGTCGGTTTAATTCTTTTACAAATCTTTACAAGAACCGAAAGAATTTGAAATGCCATCTTTTTAAAAATTAGGTCCTTTAATCTTCCATCTGCCATGAACTAGGTGCAGGAAATTTTTCTATGAAAAGTTAAGTCTGCTAATCTATCTGTTCATACATGGCATAGGGCAGGAAAAGAGTAGGGTGACGGCTGCTGAAAGTCGATAAATAAGCGAGTGGTTTCAATCGTCTTAGGCACCATCAGGAACATACAGCTAACAGCTGAGCGGTTCCACAGATTCCGCAGGTTCCACAGTCCTCACTGAGACTGTTTACTTGCTTAGTTTTGGTTGTGGCATCTCTATGACATTGGGCCACCTCTTAAGTGATGTATTATATTCCCCTTTGTTCATTTTTTGACTTTGTTTTTGAGTACAGGTGTTTAGTCCAGCTGGATGATGAGAATTTATAGCCACAAAAGGTACCAGTGCCTGTCTTGGTCATCAACAGAATTCCAGAGCATAAGGGTACAATGGGTTAAACAGTTCAGTGAGCCCATTAATTTGTTATGGCTATTGCATGATTTCAGGGTTGGGATTAACATCAGCAATACCAACTTTGGTATTGGATTAGATTAGATCAAAAAGAAAATCAGTTCATCAGGTATCGCCCATCCCTACTAGCCAGCCTACGTTCAAAGACATTAGTGTGAATCCCAGAATGTGCATAAAATGACAAAATGTCTGATGATGTCTTGATAGATTTTTTCAGTGAAACCTCAGGTTCTTTTAGTTGAATGATGAGGCAGGTTCCTTAAGCTTAAGCAGTTTATTAAGACAGAATGAAGATGCTACAGAAAGATGTTTCACACGGACGGTTCAGTGTCTGCCTGTGTCTGTCTCTGCCCCCCCCCCCCCCGGGAAACAGGCCCTTTATCTCTGGTCTTGGTACAGACTCCCGGAGCCGGGGGGTCAGACGGCCTTGGTGAGAGTAAGTTGTATGAGAGGCAAAGAACATGATGAGCGAGTAGCAAGGACAGAAAGAAACATCAAAATAAGAAATATGAAAGCTATAAATGAATGAACTAAATGAACATAATTAAATAACTATAAATTAACAAGTGAAATCCCCCAGTCTATTTTGTGTGTAGAGAGAAAGAGTATACATACTGTAACTGCCCTAGGGGACTTGTGACAATCCCTGGTAACTCACTTGTGATCACGCTTTTTCCCGTGAATTTTTGGTATTGCCACAACACCTTCAGCAGGAATTTTGTCATATGCTGTATGGATCATGCTGAAAAATCCAGATTTTTCTTAATTCTTTCTTCCCTTATTGCAACATACCTGTAGGCGTTCCTGTCCCACCCTGCCAATCATGCAGTGTGACACTGGCTGTGGGTGTTTCATGTAAATGCAGGTTGAGATGTTACTAGGATGTAGCTACTTTACCTCATGCAGTACATCTGGCATGGTAGCTTGGCAGCAGTGCTGGGCAAGTTATTCACAAAAGTAATCCATCACAGACAAAGGTGGAACTGACTGTGTCACCTGGCTGTGACAGCACTTCACTAAAGTCAGAGATAGGCAGTATTTCAATTAAATATATTTAAAATATGTATTTAATTACTTTTAAGTATTTTGTCATTTGTATTTTGCTAGATTGAAAAAATCTGATGTAATTTGTAACAAAATACTTTGAGAGACTGTAAACTGCTCAAAGAAATTAAAGGAACACTTTGAACACACATCAGATCTCAATGAGAAAACACATCGTTTGATGGAAATGAAAATTAATTCAAAGTCCATTTTGCTGAAATTTCATTGCAGCAACTCAAAATTGTACTCAGTAGTTTGTATGGCCCCCACATGCTTGTATGCATGCCTGACAATGGACCGAAACATGATTTCACAGAGGTGTTATGTTCTATTGGATTTAGGTCAGGCGAGTGTAGGGGCCACACGATGATATCAATTCCTACATCCTCCAGGAGCTGCCTGTATGCTCTCCCCACATGAAGCCGGGCATTGTTGTGCACCAGGAGGAACCCAGGACCCACTGCGCCAGCGTAGGGTCCAAATATTTCATCCCGATATCTAATGGCAGCCAAGGTGCCGCTGTCTAGCCGGTAGAGGTCTGTGTGTCCCTCCATGGACATGCCTCCCCATACCATCACTGACCCACCACCAAACCGGTCATGCTGAACAATGTCACAGGCAGCATGACGTTCTTCATGGCTTCTCCAGACTCTTTCATTTCTGTCATATGATCTCCGGGTGAACCTGCTCTCATCTGTGAAAAGCACAGATTAAAAAGTGTTCCTTTCATTTTTTCAGCACTGTATTTTATGTATTTAAAATACTTAATAAAATACATCGTTTTATTAATTTATTTTCGGTCATTTTAAGAACCTTCATCACCAGGCTTACCGATGTTTAAATAGATCACCATCTTTGGCTAGATGGAAGTAAATCACGTGACACATCCTCTTGGGTCCAGCTTGTTCATTGTGAACTTCGTTTTCCCATGACCAATTATCCAAGGAAAAAAGCTGCTTTGGTGCAAAATGCCTTAAGGTAAAATATGTAGTATAATGTACTATCAGATATTGCTCACTGAATATCATAATACCACAGAAAAATGGAGCAATCAGCAAACAGCAGTGCTGAGCTCTAGCACTTGTGAATGAACTTGCTAGCCTGCTTCAGAGATACTAGTTCATTTCAAATATGTAAATACTACACATCACTAGGGCTGTAATGGTGCATGTATTAGTCGTGTACCATTACTATTTAACACGTACTTGTGTACATAAGTGAGTTAGTGGTGCAATTAGTAAAAATACTGCAGGATATACAGGTTTGGGAAGGTTAACAAAATGCTGTTAAAATGAGATCAAATTTAAAATACTGTCATGCAAAGAAAATTAAACAGACAATACACTCCAGATTTTTATCCCACATTCATTTGCCCAGCAGGACCCATTTGTCTAAAGCAGGGGGACCCAATCTTATCCGCAAAAGGCCGGTGTGTATGCAGGTTTTTGCTGCAACTCCCTAATTAGGTCAATAATTAGAGGACTGATTGGCTGAAGAGTCCTTACACCTGGGTTTGAACAGCTGACCTACAAGTTATCCCAAAAACCTGCATACACACCAGCCCTTTGCGGATAAGATTGGCCACCCCTGGTCTAAAGCAACATACAGGAGTGGAAGGTCTGGGGTTAGTGAAAGTCCCTGGAGCAACTGTGTCATTCTCTTTCAATCCCCTTTTAAAACTAATTATAATTACAATTTAGTTTCAGTTTTTTATTAGAGCTGGTAGACTGAGTAAAAAAATCCCTGAGGTTATGAGAAAAAACTTTGAAGGTTCACTGAACAAAAAATGTAATTCATGTATAGATGAGAGATGGCAAAAAGCTGGTGAAAATCTGCCTATAAAAGGTCGGCAACTAAGTTCAAGTTGTCATGTCATGTGCAGTCTTTGTGTCATGTGCAGTCTTTGTGTCATGTGCAGTCTTTGTGTCATTTGCAGTCTTTGGCTGGACAATAAAAGTTTATTCTATTCCCATTCAGGAGCAGTGGAACAGGCACCTGAATCTGAAATTTTGGCACTTTCACTACTACTAGATTAGTGTTACATATTTATATCACGGATGAGGTCAAAAACAGAAAAATCACAGTAATCTAAGGTCAGAGTCCACATTCTAACCATACCATACACACCTTTACATTCTCAAAGGGTGAAGATTGTAACAGTAGATCTCTTCTCTATGTCACACTTATTTCAGGCATTGATAATAACAAAGTGGAGTTATACCTGTTTTTCATGTTGGAAGTATAACAACAGAGCTGATGACTCATACTTAAGTTGTTTTAGATATATGATTTTTTTTATTGTCTCGCAATTTCTTTCGGCCAAACCAATTACAGTAACTGTCTTTTAAGCATATAGGGACACAGACAGCGAGGGTGGCTGCTGTCATGGTGAGCAATTATACAGTACAGTAGGCCTGAACGATTTGGGGAAAATAATCATATTTTTCTGACAGATACTGCGACTGCACTTTGCAGTATCAAGTCAAGCTTCAGTTCAATATTCAGAGTGTAACACATTTAAAACACGTGACGCAGCATTACCACATCAAAATATTAACTGGACTGTAATCCAATGCAAGGCAACATGTTTTTATTACTTTTTTTAACCCTTGTGTACATACCTCAAGCCTTTAGTGACCTGGCATATACTTATTTAAAAATCAAGCCACAAAAAAACGTAACTGTGCAAATCTTTTATTAAATACCTCATTCCTGAACACCAAGAACAGTTTCTAAACAAAGTGAAGGTTTTCTGACAATGGTCATATGATTCAGTGTGGACACTGTTCCCAGATTATGACACATACTCTATAAATTCTTATCAATAACATTTAATTGTTTGGTTCTCCAAAAAAATTAACGATAATCCAAAGGACTGCCTGAGCAAATACAACACAATTTTTAAATGACCATTTCATTCAATGAAGGAAAAAAAAAAATCACCAACACCCATTATCACCCATGTGACAAAGTTATCTAGTCACTCAGTCAATCAATGAACCAAATCCAAATAGATTAAGTTAAACTAGACACACCCAAACTCGAATACTGCCAGCCTTATTAAATCTACACATCATCAAACAGAACCATTCCAGCAATGTGGAGTTGGATAAGGACTCTCAAAAAGCAGCACAACATGACACGATCAAAATAACTTCCTGAAGACCAGAGAAAGAACGTTACTGAAATATATCAGTCAGGAATGGGGGACAAAGCACCTTCTAAAACCCTTGGACTGTAGTGAATCACAAATTAAAGCGGCATCTTATATTAAGTTTTAAAAAATGTTTAAAAAATTGACTCACTCATTCGTGGGCGGTGGAATGAGCTGCCAAACCACATCCCGTCATCAGATTGACTCTCCATTTCTCCACCTTCATGAAACACTTCAAGGTCCATCTGTTCTATGAATTTCAGTACTGGCCTGATGTTTCTTTACTTTCTTTGAATATTATGTTGCAATTCTGGGCATTCAATAATCCCATTAGTTTCTTGCCTTGTTTGTAAGATGCCGTGTAGCTCTTCCTCCTACACTGCTTACACTTGTTCCTGACCTTCATTGGAAGCCCACCCTAGCTGCACTTATGCCTAGTTGACTCCTTGACATGACCTATGTTTGTGTATCTACTTCATTTGTGCATTACTTTGGACAGAAGCATCTGCTAAACATGTATATGTTATTGTGTGGCACGGAGCCCCTCGCACAGATGGCCGTGCTTTTGATGCAGCCTGTGCCACTTGCCATGTTGGGTGACACCTGGGCACAGCTGGGACCTGGGCTCTCGGCCCCTGCTCCGCATCTGAGCCATGTACCGCTGAGCCTGGGGACCGCAGAGGTACGTCCGCAGGTTCGAGCAGAAGTGCTGGTGGGCAAACAGCTCTGAGGGATCCAGGTGGCGCCTGGGTGGCACCTCCGCCGTCCGCTGCTGCCAGCGGGACAGGGACAGCAGCCGCACACTTGTCTGGTGACCCACACGCCGGGCGGCATCGATGGGTGCTACGCCGCCGAGATCCCGCACATGCACCGGGGCACCAGCGGCCACCAGAATGTCGATGCACTCGGTGTAGCCCTGGCATGCAGCCGCGTGCAAGGCGTTCCGCCCCTGGGGAGTCTGGGATGTCACACACGCACCTGGCAAACACCCATGACAACAAAGGCAATAATAGCTCCTGTTACTGTCAGCGTATCTTGGTGCTAATTATTGCTAATAAACATGTGTCCACAGCAATATGAGTACAAAAAAACTCTTCAGGTAAATATATAGGTCAAACATCCTAGAGAGCGTACCCTACAGGTGAAAGCCAATCAGACGATATAAAATTTAGGATACATTCTTAAAACAGGCGTTATACTCAGAAAGATAGTTTCCATCTAATGCGACTGCATGAACCAGCCGTATAATCCAATACATGTCTGATTAATGTCTTAGGCCTGGCTCTAGTGATCTGGTCTCCATTGCTAGCTGAGCTCTTGATCGAGCTGTTGATGAAATAGATTGCATTATTAAAATTGCATTAAGAGAAATATTATGGATATTTTATCAAAGATTTAAACCAAATCAGTTGGTTTGCTGATGAATGTCTGATAAAGAAGAAGGAACTACTGCTGGTGTTTATCCATATGATGTCCTTCATCATTAATGAACTTCATAAATTCTTACTCATTTACTCATTGTAGAATTTAGTATATTCTTTGTATGTTAATGTTCAATTTTAAAATCTCACAGAGACCTGGCTTCCACAGATTTTACCCACAGTCCAATGCCGTGTCATAAAGGTATGTTGATGACTCTAAATTGTGTAAGTGGGTGCACCCCTGCCCTATGCCCTAGGTGTGCTATGCTCTACTAAACCAGTGTTTCCCAACCTGGCCCTTGGGGACCACCAGACAGACCACATTTTTGCAAAAACGTGGACTGTCTGGTGGACTGTCCCAAAGGATTGGGTTGAGAAACGCTATTCTAAACTATAGCCAGAACAGGACAGGTAGTTAATAAAGATGGAGGATTATTACTTTGACAATTTCAAAAGAAGGGGAAAAGGATTTTATACCACTTTCATTTGCTTCCCGGGACATTGCTGTGAATCACATAATTTATTAAATTGCAAGATGCATCCATAATAACTCATTGAAACCTTGGCTGAAATTAAAAGCAGCATACACAGCAGACAAGGACCAAAATAGAAATGCACATTGTTGTGGATAGTGACCAAAAAAAAAAGATGCGCACCATTTGCTATGAGGAACTGCACCACTGCCTTCTTTCCACGATGGGCGCTGACAAAGAGGGCAGGGAGGAGTCTGTGAGAGGGCCAGGGCGACGGCAGGATGGTGCCAAGCGGCTGAGAAGAACCAGCGGAGTCCGACCTGCCCAGGATGATCATCAACTGAGTGAGAGACAATGAGAAGGAGTAAAGACACAGACCAAAGAGGTGGACAACCCAGACTGACACATTACCTAACCATCTTGTTATGCTGTAGATGCCCAACATCACAAATTTCAGCTGTACCAGACTCTGAAACTTTCAATGCTACTTGCGGGACAAACTATGGTTCATTTTCCCCCACATTTGTCCCACATTATCACAGTTCATGCAGTCAGGAAAGTTTTCTAATGCAAGATGGTTTCGACATATTCATCTCCAGGTACCATAAGAAATGGATTTCATGGGAATCATGTCACACTGTTACCCTGTAATGGATAAAGAGTACAGAAGGTGTGTGGATGGATGGATGGATGGATGTCATGTCATGTCATAATGAAGGATATCCAACTCCGTAAGCATCCGAAATTACCAAAATTCAACCTAGCGATATTCAGTCAAACGTGTTTAGAATTAGCATTAAGAGAAATCCTTAGGCTGATTTCCATATACAACATCTCTCTGACTGAAAGCATGCTTAGGCACGTACTGCTGTCGCACACAAAATTTGTCTACAGATGATTATATGCGTTCTACTGTAAAACAGATGTTGTTTACTGGACGAAAGTAGTTTTCTTCAATTGTTGTTCATTGTTTACACTTTTAATTGTACCGTACCTTGCAAATGTCACCAGAAACAGCGGCTCTCACCAGGGCTGGCAAACCATTGTATGGCCAAATCGTCATGGTGATGGTACTCCTGGGAATGATGCCATTAAAGTTAAACGTAGATTCATCTACCAAATCACCTTAAAAAAGATAAGACAGATGAATGATTAGTAGGGCAGGAGCAGCATGTACTTCTGTGAACTAATCTGTGAATTAGATTTTTAAATGAATGGCCGGACTGGTTCAAGCTGATAGAAGGGCAACATTGACTCACATAACCCCTTGTTACAACCAAGGAATGTAGAAGAGCATCTCTGAACGCAGAACATGTCGAACCTTCAAGGCTACCGTGGGCAAGGGTTCAATTGAGTCTCAACTTCTACTGCGAATTTCAGATGGTAGGTTCAGAATTTGGCATCAACAACATGAGTAATGGTGTGTGGGATCTTTTTTGGCACCGTTTGGGCCCATTAGTACCTACTGAGCACACAGCCTACCTGAGTATTGTTGCTGACCATGTCCATCCCTTCATGACCACAGTGTACCCAGCTTCTAATGGCTACTTCCAACACACCATGTTACAAAACTTACATTACCTAAGACTGGTTTCTTGAACATGACAGTGAGTTCACTGTACTCAAATGGCCTCCACAGTCACCAAATCTTGATCCAACAGAACATCTACGGCATGTGGTGGAACAGGAGATTCACATAATAAAGAGGCAGCCGACAAATCTGCAGTGACTGCATGATGCTATCATGTCATCATGGACCAACGTCTCTGAGGAATGTTTCAAGCACCTTGTTGAGTTTGTCGTGAACAAATAAGACAGTTCTGATGGCAAAAGGGGGTCCAGTCTGGTATTAATACTTAATAAAGTGGTCAATTAGTCTATAATTGATAATACAGGCAAATATAGGTTCTTGATGTTATTAATATACTACAACTGCGACTCTTCTCTCAAGTAAACATCTGCAGTATTACAAGTAAGAAGCACAACCAGAATCATTCTAAAAAATACCTTCTCCTACCAGGAACAAAGGTGCTTATCATAGAATAAGATTTAAAAAGAACTCAGAATAGCACACAAAATTGTTTCCACTCAGTGTAGCATGGGCCACCAGATAATCTGATGGGCTGGGTGCTTGGGTGTAACTGTACATAAAAAAGGATGGGTCGCTTCCTTCATATTCACGATAAACAAAATAAGTCTGTGATTGGTTGTTATTGGTCCAGTCTTGGCATGGGCTTGACATCATGATTGGACAAGCCAGGATCGTCACAATGTTTTAACTGCAATGTGCAATGTCATTTAAATTAATACAGTAACATCTTGTACAACTTATAAAAAGATGGGCGAAGAAAAAAAACACAAATGTAAACTTAAATTGTCAAAAAATTACACATTAAAAACTGAACATCTGAGAAGAACCCTGGTTAAGGTTAGATTTAGCAAAACTAGTAAAGAATCAGAATTGATGTTGTTTCAAAAAAGTATGTTTAAGTTGTTGTATTTTGTATCCTGTATATTTCTGCAAATGTTTTGTTAAATCGGTGTTGGGTGAGGTATCCCACATTTGCTTACACTTCTGTGAATGGAGTGGCAGGGCAATGAGACGCCGAACAATGCCCTAGTGAGTGACAGAGCCCTGTTTTCTGATATTTGCAAACTTTCCTCACACAATGAGACCATATGTTATGCTTCCCCACCTGGAGATACACAGGCCGGACACGTTTTCTGGTACTGCAGTGTCGTTTCAGTGTTTTGTTTGTTTGTTTGTCCTTCCTTATGCCCCGATTCATCTTCCATCTGCAGAGGATGACTAATGAATAATATTATGAGCCACAACCTAAAAATTAACTGGCCTTATTACAGTGGAATCCACTCATCTGGCACTTCCAAGCAATAATTGTCACTGGTGACATCATTCAGACATATGCAGTATTATACTCATCAGTTATTATACAGCATATATTACATAAATGAATTACAATATAAATGCAGGAGTGACAGAATTTTGACATGGCTGGGCCATTAAACATGTATGGCTCAGATGCTGTCCTGTATCTTACACATACTGCAAATGTAGTCTCTTGGTGTTATTTGAATATTTTTCTCATGTTGGGTTCCACCAGTTTTTTGCATAGCTGGTGTTCCAGTACGCCACTGTACATGTTACTGGTCACTCACTTGAACCTCAGCCTAGCAGCAAACATACACTAGTGGCCAAAATTGTGGAGGCATTTTCGGCATTACACTTTAAAAATTACTGCACGAATATTGGCAGTAATGCTTATAACTGTAATGTGCAATGTCATTTAAATTAATAAAGTAACATCTTATATAAATTATAAAAATATAGATGAAGAAAAAAACACAAATTTAAACTTCATTTGTGAAAAACAATCATGGAATGTTACAAATATCATACATTGGACAATTAAATAAGTAACTGGGGCACATGTCCACACCCATACGACAAACACTGCCGTTACCTAGCACATTTTAATACTAATCCTGACATCCTTGTATTACTAATCCAGATACCTTGTGGCGTAATGTTACAACTATGCACTTAAAAAACGTAAGTCACAAAGTAAAAAAGAAGAAACAAAAGCCTTGAAGAAAGAAACAGCTGTACCCAGCCCAGCAAATTAATTCTTTAATTCTTTGATTGGCTCATCAATCAGGTGGTAAAGTGAAAACACATGTAAACACTTACACCAGTCACCTATAAATGAATTTACCCCACAAATCTCACTGAATATTTTTGCAGTACTATTACTTATTTGTTTAGTAATTTCAAAGCATTTCAGTTCTTATAACTGATACATGCAATTGTAATAGTAAAAAATACAAAATAGTAATAACAAAAAAAAGTGCAGATAGCATGTTAGAATGTTTCCTCTTGAGGACCAATAAGGAGCCATAAAATGAAGAAAGTTACAGTTCACAAGAAAACACTCCAGCTAATGACGTTTTTTGTTACCTGTGGTGTAGAAATTACACTATATCTGAAGGGGATGTTTTTTTTTTAATGAAAACATTTCTGAACTCTAGAAGGCACACTGATCAGCCATAACATTAAAACCATAGACAGGTGAAATGTATAATATTGATTATGTCGTTACAATGGCACCTGTCAAGGTTGGCATTGTTTATTAGGCATGTGACCAATCAGTTATTGATGCTGATGTGTTGGAAGCAGGAAAAATGGGCGAGCATGAGGATCCAAGTAACTTTGACAAGGACCAAATCATGATGGCTAGATGTCTGGGTCAGAGCATCTCCAAAACGGCAGGTCTTGTGGGGTCTTCCTAGTATGCAGTGGTCAGTACTTACCAAAACTGAACCAGGGAAGGCCAACTGGTGCTATGTGGTCATGGGTGCCCATGGCTCGTTGATGTGCATGCGGAGTGAAGACTATCCCATATGGTCTGATCCCACAGGTGAGCTACAGCAGAACTTTGTAGCCTGCAGACTGGTCTGAATGCTCATGCTGACCCCAAAAGCGCCTACGATGGGCATGTGAGTGTCAGAACGGGACCAGGGAGCAATAGAAGAAGGTGGCCTGGTCTAATGAGCCACATGTTCTGTTACATCATGTGGACAGCCAGGTGAGTGGTGTTCCTGGGGAAGAGATAAGCTAATAGAGGCAGGGTGATGCTCTGGGCAATGTTTAATGGGGTCCAGGCATTCATGTGGATATTACTTTGATGTGTACCACCTGTCTAAACATTGGGGCAGACCAAGTATACTCCTTCAATTGCGATGGCCTCATTCAGCAGGATAATGGTCCTGCCACACTGTGCAGGAATGGTTTGAGGAACATAAAAAAAAGTTCAAGCTGTTAACTTGCCTCCAAATTCCCCAGATATCAATCCAATCAAGCATCTGTGGGATGTGCTGAACAAACAAGTCTGTTCCATGGAGGCTCCACATCACAACTTACAGGACTTAAAGGATCTGCTGCTAATGACTTGGTACCAGATTCCACAGGACACCTTCAGAGGTCTTCTGGGCCCAGTTTTGCAAAAGTAATCCAGTGGGATTTTGGATCACGGATTGGATCACATCTTGGAAATGGGTTTTTCAAAAGTAAAAGAGGGATCCTGAATTAAGATCAGACCACGTAATCCAATCTTACATTTGATTTGGATCAAACCTGCCCTTTGGGTTATTCAAAACTTTGAATTCAGATTGGGATCTATTTGATCCAAAAAAACAGGATTATCCTGATCCCATCAGAAGGGTGGATTCAGTTGTGATTTTTTGACCCAAATAAACCAAATAAAATATATATATATATAAATTTTTTTTTCTTAAGTGAATGATCACAAACTTAATGGTTACTGATGATATATAAATTCCTTCATATTTGAAGCCTATATGAAGCATGTCACATATAATGATATTGAGATATGGTAAACAACAACAAATTAATATCAAAGCTATCAGATGTCAAATAAATGTCACTGTTGCTCATAGCTCTATAATTCCACAGTATATTAATGACAATGACCATAACAGATTTAGTCATTTAATAGGAAAAGTAATTTTTCACAATTGCATCTCTAATTGCATGTCCAGTGTGTCCTTCATTATGTAAGAACATTGGTGTCTGTCCTGTAAATGATTTTTGACTTTTTGACAGTATTGTTTTTGTTTTGTTATTTAACATTAGAACAAGCTAAAAAATTGTAAAAGATTATTTTTTTTTTTGCAGTGTTTCTGTTTCTTACAATTAAAACAAACAATGGCTATTTGTGGCCACTGGTATTTTGCCTACCTGTTGTTTTTTTGCTAAGCCAGTAGGCTACACTGTTGGTTCCATTTAAGGCTATGGTAAACAGGATTTGGTAATCCTGAAATTTGATATTTGGATCACAGTGATCCAACCCAATGTTCCTTTAAAAAACTGTCATAAAAGTAAGATAGATCAGTTAATCCTGGATAGCAAAACATGGGATTTCCAAATCCGGACCAATTTGATCCAGATTAAATTTTTTGAAAAACTGGTACCTGGAGTCCATGCCTCGTTGGGTGATTTTCACGGCACGAGGGGGACCTACTCAATATTAGGCAGCTGGTTTTAATGTTATGGCTGATCGGTGTATGTATAATTCACACGACAAATTTCCTCAAAATCAAAATGGTGACACAAAAAACGGTTTTGCAAATTAGCTGAATTAAAATGGAATGACTCCATCATGACCATCTCCAGGGAATAAAGTAAAAATGGAGGGATGGATAGGTTTGCAAATCTTTATAAATCTATATGTAAAAAATGTATAATGACAATAAAGGGCATTCTATTCTATACATGTTTGTTGGGTCAGTCAATGCATCGAAACAGAGGTGTAGTATGTGAGGAATGAAGCCGATGTGTGCTTTCGCTCAGAGGCTGACACAGGCACACAAACTCATACGGAGCCATGCTGTGCTTTTGAAGTTAATTGAGGGGCTGCAGATGTATTTATAAGTATGAAGAACGCATTTATCCATATATATATATATATATACCTTCGTAGTCGCAGATGTTTTCTGTGATTAATGTGTTGTTTGTATTTAGCAGTTGTTAATCAGGCTCCACAATTTGTTTAAAATGCATATTATTATTGAGATTACCTTTGTTTTTGCATGCCAGAGTATAACATTTAAGTCACTACCAATTAAAAGGGGTGTTTTATATGGGTGCACTTACTCATATATTTGAATAAAAAATATTTGCTCAGGAAAAAAAAAAAACCTTCGGAATAAATTACCATAATTTCTTTTTTTCCCATAAATGAGCTTTAGACCATTCCTACAATATGTAAAATGCTGTGTTGTGGTAAAGTCCACCTGAAATACTCTATGGTTTGTAATCGCCCTATATCACAGGCTTAACAACCATATTTGATTCTTCATAATGTTATTCAGCTCCGTCATGGGCCTATTCAAGCATTTAAACCTACAGTATGCCTTTCTTACTTTAGTTGAATCAATTCGCGGTTTTTCTGTGCCCGATAAATAAACAGCGGCATATCGTTCGTTAGTAATAAAATGCATGTACACAATATCGCCTGCCTTATATTAATAGTTTTTTTTTATGTGAGGAAAGTTATATTTTATGTTCACAACACACCTTGGTCCAAGTAGCTGAGTCTCTGACAGTCTGAAGGTATCCCGGCTATTAACTCTAACGCTGTCTTCAGTTCGCAGATCTTCGTGTGACCCCGACATTTAGGCACTGTGAATATTTCGCCGGTGTCCTGCAAGCTGACCCGAACGCTATACTCTGCCTTTTTGCTGCTGCGGTCCGTCACACCCGAAGCTTTTGGTTTTTGCGAAGGTAATTTTCTCATATGGACCCTCAAAGACGCATCTGTTTTAGTTAAAACCATTTTCACTGTTTGCAATGACAACCAAGCCCGTAGCCATGGTGGACCAACGCGGTAACTATGGTGAAACCAGTGATTTTTTTTTATTGCTTAGTAATCCACCGTACAATGTAAGACGAAACAAAGGTTCAATATACAGGGCGACAATTATATCATATATATATTAAATTTTCTTTACTCCGGTATCTTGCGCTTCTATTTTGGCTTGCAGAGGCCAGCCGGTCGTGGGCTGTCCTCACTCCTCTATGAAATCCACACAACCACCTCCGTAAGAGCTTATCGTTTACATGCATGTATTTCTTTCGCAGAAGCTCAAGGTGCCAGTGATATGATTATGGTGCCTGATAATATAATATAATATAATATACCCATAACCTTATGGACTCACTCACAGCTGGCTAGCCCCCTGGGTCCCGTTTCGCGAAACCTTCTTCACGCTATGTCGTTCATGCGTTCTACTTTTTAACATAGAACTTGCGAACTACGTAGCGTCAAGAAGGTTTCGCGAAACCAGGCTCAGAGCAGCCTACTCCAGTTTATCCAGTTGAAGCTATCACAGGGAATGCTAGGCTCAAACCAGCATCCCTTTCACAAACTCAGTGAAAATTACTGTGCAAATGTTACAAAATATACCTACCTTACAGCACATGCAGCGCTGCTTCAACTGCATCATACATAGCAGTTTCATTTATAGCAATAAAATCCTTTATTTTTAAACCATGATTGGGATTTAACTGCAGAAAATGACATCTGAAAGGACCTATGTTATGGCTTCACTTCTGAAGTGAATGTGTAGTACATTGTTATAAGTATTGGAATTTTCTAAACAATTGCACATTCCCCAATGCTGTGCACACAGCCAAAAACTGGCATACCTAGTACTCAAATCTCAGTGAAACTACATTGAAAAAAAAGAAAAAAAAATCACTTCACATGACTGAGCATGTCTGCATAGGCCATTAGCATTTATGAGATTCTTTGGTAGTACTTCTGAACTACAAATGCATACATTCGGTGAACCTCATCATTTTGTGTATTCCACACATTTTTGAAAACATTATTCATTTCCCTGTGACTCATTTGGAATAGAAAACAACCAAAGGTGACAGAGAAAATTGAAAAGAAAACCATTTAATGGAGAAAAGTGATTTTGAGTCCATTCTGCTATTGATTTTGAACCAGCTGCTTTTCAAATAATTAATTTTGTGCATATTATCTCCAGTCTCTACACAATCTGAAAAACTCACTTAAAAAATTAAATTCCAATTTTATAATTCTAATAGATACTGTACTAAAATACATAAAAACATCTTTTAAGAGAAAACAATTACAAAGTTTGTAAATGGAAAAGGGAGGATATAAAATATTTAAACAAGGTACATTGAAAAAAAAATAAACCTCATAAAACATATGCATAAAATCGTTCTACGGCAACATTAAACATGACAAAGGGGCCGACTGTACAGGCAGTTGAGGTGGGTTGGCTCAGCTAGAGACAAACATTTAAACACTTAAGACCATGTTTCTGTCACGGTCTGCATATACAGTATGTAAGGAAACAAAACACAACATTCATGGGGGGTGAAGGCAAATTAGCCTTCAAAACTGCACATCCCCGGTCAACACACTAACTGGCTTGGACCCTCCCCACTACAATGCCTATTTCAAACAGGCAAAACGTCTGACATTGTCTAAAAATGTGTGGAAAAGGTTCAACAGAGGTACTGGCAGGATGGGGAAGAACCCAGAGCATATACATGGACTTCAGAAATACTGAAACAAAACACAAACAAAACACAAACGGAACACAAACGAAACATGGTTCGGTAGACAGACTGAAAGCCCTGATCCGATAGATATTTCCTATGAATTTAGTCATTACAAGTAATGGTTGCATGTGCCAAAATCCTGGATGTGCTTGTTCAACAAAAACCCAAGGATGGTCCGACACCGCTGACTCAGATGTAATGTGGTGCCCCCTCTCGTCACATTCCCCTATTGGGGGTGAGCTGCACTCATGCAGGTAGAGTTATACTGATGAAAGAAATGCAATTTGCGAAACCATGGCTAAGAAAAAATAACACACCTGAAGCAAATGAAAAAAAAAAAAACATACATTTTAGTCAGAATCAGTGGACAAGGCCAGAGGGGCCACAGTTCCGAGTTAACATCTTAAAGAAATGTCACAAACGATTTGCAGTGAGCGAGCCAGCATCTCCTGTCCCAAGCTGCTCAGGTTACTGATTCCCATGAATCCAAGGAGAGACGGTGTGGGAACAACAAACAAAAAGGTCCATATGAGCTCAAGGAAGGATGGAAAACTGCTGATAATCAGTGCCAGTTAGAAATGTCACCTGGGCTCAGTGCCACTTAATGGTGTGTTACTTTACATCGGTAAAAATCGTTCCCCCTGAGTTAATACACATCCGCAAGACACCTTTGTCCATTATTTTTTTTCTTAGAAATACAAGGGTAAAATTATCGAAATAATCTATATAAACAAGAAACAATATACAATAAGCTTTGGAGAACAGACCTGCTGTATTGCACAAGTTTGTGTCCACAGAAACTCAGAGTCTTGGGGGAGCGGAGCTGCAGTGGCTGCAGGGACCGCCTTGTGTTTCTGACAGCTGCATGCAGCACTAGTCTCTGACAAACTCAGCGGGGGCCCAGAGCAGCGTTACTCGCCTGCATCCCATTTCCTGTACTCGAATAACAAGTTTGTGTGTGTCTGTGTGCCCCCGTGCTCTGGTGCTGGTGAACTGCTGTCGGGGAGAGGCCCGTGTCAGATTAAGGCGGCCGTGTCCGCCAGATTCCTGCTGGGATTCAGGCTGGCGAAGAAGCGCACGTCGCGGTCCTTGTCCGCCTGCAGAGACAGCACCGTCTCCTCCAGCTCGTCCGAATGGGCACTGCCGGGCTCTTTGAAGTATGCTGGTCACGGACATGGAGACGGGCGCCAAAAGATAGATGTGTTTATATACATAAATATGAATATATATGCAAAAAGGCAAGGAAACAGTGCTGGAAAAAACTGAACTAAAGAAATACAAAAATACAATTCATTAAAAGAAGACTTCAATATTCTTATCTAATTACAAGGCCTTGCTGCTAAATATTCATAATTATTCATAATTCAAATATTCATCATAATTTAGTTGAAAACAAAATGATAAGGACTGTAGCTTTTCACAGGGAGACCAGGAAATCACTGCCTTTTGACTTGCGTTTGAAGTATAAACAAACAGCCCAATCAGAGATCAAAGACAGACCTGGGAGGTAAGTGGACTGACAAATGACCGTGTGTGTGTCTGTGAGGTTCGCTCACTGCATGTGTGTGTCTGTAAGGTTCACCTTTCTCCAGTATGCTCTGCCGGAGAGCTTTGGCCACCAAGACACGGACGTTAGCCACGGGGTCCGATGACAGGCTCAGCAGACTTGGGAGCAGGTGCTGGGCAAACTGATCCATAGGCATGCAGTCCTCCTCCACGACTGCCTGTAAGGGAAGGGTGACAAAAGGGAGGATGACGGGACATGTCGGCGTGTCGTACCTTCAGCTGGCCTGAGTGACAGTTAGCGTAATAAATAAGGATATGGACTTATAACCAGTGGGTTACTGGTTACCAGGAGGGGAGGCTGTGGCTAAACACATCACTGAATAAATGGTTGCTGTCATTTTGATTTAGTTAAATCCACTCTTGTCCCCATTGTTCACTGTACAACGAGGAGGAAATGGGGCAATTCAGACAGTCCAGAGCAGAAAAGCACAAAGAGCAGCTGCCTATCCTTCCATCTCCTCACCTGACAGATGAAAGCGAAGGCCTGGCGTCCCACCCACTTGGGACAATGACAGAACTTGACAATAAGCTGGTTGATAAAGTTGAGGCCCAGCTCATGGTCTCCACTGGCGTACAACTTCTGCAAGATCTCCACCACCTTCATCAGGCATGGAACACACACACCAAACCCTATGCATTACCAATCACACGGCGACATACTGCAGTACAACTGCTAAATTAAGCTTAGAGTCCTCTGACTCGTATCTTCCGGGTCTGCAAAAATCACACAGGGTGACATGCTGCAACAGATTTGTAAAACGAAAGCGAAAAGCAAAATGCTGGCATAAAAATCATTCTCTGCAGGAGGGCTTCGTTTTAGGCAAAGTGCCTCACTACGCGCATAAGAAACGGGGCATCAACATAACGAGACTTCATCTCAGGTTTCATTTTAGGATAACCAAAGAAATAGGAGAAGAGTACTGTAATAGCATCGGATAAATATTATGTAATTTAATATATAATTACAATCATTAAAGCAAGGAATGTAACATTTGGCCATCAGTTTCCTTTGCAGCTACCCAGACGAAGATCAGAGGCGTACCAGTTTGTAGGAGATCCACCTAACCTCGGAGACCTTGTCCGAGCAGAGCGTGAGCGCTATCTGGCGAAGGTAGTCGTATACGTCGTAGTGACTGTACAGCTCAATGATGAGGATCAGCTGTCTGTAGAAAGATGGTGAGTCACCTCCTGGTACTTGTGCACGTGTTTGTGCGTGCAAGCGTGACAAGGCCAGAAAAGATGAAACTGCAGACTCACTCGGCCAGTTCGTATCGGAACCTCCAGTTGCGGCTGTTGTCCGTCACCATGAACTCCTGAAGCTGGTAGAGATACTCCCTGCGTTTGTCTGCGTGAAGCAGCTGAAACAGACAATATAGATTTAACAATAAGCAACAGGCCTGGGCTACAGAGAGCAGGGAAACAAATACATATGAAACACATACGGATACAGGGCAACTGGGACTTGTTGAGTGGCTGGAGAAGTTCTCCACCAAAGTCCAGACTCACGGCGGTGCTCACCTTCAGGAAGTCGTAGAGGTGCTTGAGGACGCCGATGCGCACCTCGTCCAGGTCCTTCAGGAAGCCATTGAAGATGGGCACCAGATCCGCGGCGGTCAGCTGGTCTCCCAAAATGACGGCCAGCTCATGGATGGAGAAGGCCAGCGTTCT